CCACTTCCGGCTTTTTTCTGTTTGCTTATGTGGTGCTGAGGAATCAAACCCAGGGCCTCATGCATGCAAGGCAAGTGCTCTACCACTGAGCCACCTTCCCAGCCCCTGTCTGTGATCTTGAGTCATGGATCTCAATCCTTTTTTGTTTGTGTTTGTTTTAGATAAGGTCTAGAACTTTTGCCAGAACAGTCTCAGACTAAGGTCTTATTCCCACATCTTGAGTAGCTGGGATTATAGAAATGTACCACCATGCCCAGCTAGAAATAGGTATTTTAGGACATGAAAGTCTCAAGAGTGTATCCAAAACAAATACAGTCTACAATCTGTGTTAATTTTTCAAACTACTGGCTTCATATAATTAGAATTTCTTCAGTGCCTAAAATATTAAGGTGAAAACAAATCAGTACTCCTTTTTTGGTGTTTGATATCCTGAGTACTTCAGTAAATCTTAACAATAAGTTACAACACAGTGTAGTGTCTAGAAGACGTAGAAATCTACAGAGATAATCAAATACATTTTGTGAAGTGTTGGTTTTTTTTGTAGGTGCTAGAGTATGAATTCAAGTTCCTGTACCTGCTGGCAGAACTCTATTCCTTGAATACCACCCTCAGCCCTTTTTTGCTTTGGTTATTTTTAGAATAGGGTCTCACCCTTACACTTCGAGCTACCTGGATTTCAATTCTCCCATTTATGCTATTTATATAGCTAGGATGACAGGTGTACAACTACACATAGCTTTGTTCAGTGAGATGAACTCTCCGGAGCTTATGGCCCAGACTTAAACCATAATCCTCCTAATCTTTGCCTCAAGAGTAGCTAGAATTACAAGGCTTCCCATTATACCCTGCCTTTTGTGCTGTTTTCTTTTCTTTTTTTTTTTGTTGGTTGTGGGGCTTGAACTCTGGGCCTGGGCGCTGTCCCTGCACTCTTCAGCTCAAGGTGAGCGTTCTACCACTTGAGCCACAGCACCACTTTCGGTTTTTCTAGCGGTTTATTGGAGATAAGAGTCTCACGAACTTTCCTGCCCGGGCTGGCTTTGAACCGCGATCCTCAGATCTCAGCCTCCTGAGTAGCTAGGATTATAGGCATGAGCCACCAGCACCTGGCTCTGTGCTGTTTTCTTATCACAAAGATTTCCAACCACCACCAATCTTACTTTACTTACTTCACTTCTATGAGAAGTGAACATCACTAAAATCAGAAACTATAACTCAATTTTTAAAAATTATTTAAACTTGAGCCCACTCCTTGAGGTATCTGATAACAAATTATTAGTAATTGAGAATCTTTAGCTTTTATATCAATAAACATTAAGATAGTGAAATTACATGAAACTAAATGAAACAATGCATAAGAAATCCTTAGTACAGGACATGAGGCTCATTAAGACATTTGGAATATATACACTTATTCCTACTCCTTAATCTGAAGCAAACCAACTGCACACCTCTCACAGTTGAGAAAAATGAGAGGAAAGATCATAACTAATGATTACACACACACACACAAAATACACTACCCACTAGTGATTAGAAATCTGGTTCTATAGCTTAAAGCACATTTAATTTTTATCACAGCAGGCGATTCAAATGAAAATTTAGAAGTCTTACTGATTTGTAAACTAGTAATCATTCTTAATTTGTTATAATTTGTTAATAGACTGCCCTCATGCTATTGTTCCCACTTAGTGGTTTACTGAACTGACAGTTGCTATCTCCAATAAGAATAATGAAACAATAGAGACAATGAAGAAATCTAGAATGTTACGTTTATTCTGCCCTGGTCAGCACACAATGGAAGAGAATAAGTACTATATATAAAAGCAAGTATTTGCTTTTTAAAGCAATTTTACTTCAATATTTATATTCAAAGAAATAACACTTAAGAAAAAAATATTACATGTAAGGAAAGTGTTGATTAATAGCATTTGTATGTTATCAAGTATTTTCAACTTAAACATGTTCTACAAGGATTAAAAATATACTTAACTTTGCCACTGCCTAGGAGAGAGAACAGAGTCTACAGCCTAGAATACAGAATTTTAATTGCATACCTTTCTTTAACAAAGAAAAGTTACTACTTCTCAAGGTGTAGCCTAGAAAAGCCTATAACATGTAACCATGCTTCAAGTATATGGCTGTGTTGTGTTGAAAGATGAACTTGGAATGATGAAAACCTGTCTATAAAATTGTAATTTACTTAGAGAAAAATACATATTCAGATTATGTTGAAGCTTGTGATTACTTGACCACTGAATATAATCATACAAAGCTGAACTGAAACCTTCCAACCATTATGTAACAAAACTTCTTTACCCAGTATTTAAAAAAACATTTAATCACAAAACAAATGTAAGTGCACTAAATTCAACACCAATTTCATCTTTAGAGGGCAAAGGGACAAAGAATATATTCTGATTTCATTAATCCATATTCCTGGCAAAGTACCAGTCATACTAACTTGGCAAAACTCAAAATACTCTGAAACCATATTTTTACCTATCTTTAATCCATTCTTGTCAAAGTGTAGTTTAGGTTTCAATCTAAAACTGTTGATATACATATTATTATGAGCTCCACTGGCATAAGAAACCTTTTCTTCTTTTCTTGTAGAACTCAGACTAAGCAGTACTAATGCCACCATACATAAAGTCAGTTCTCTCTACCCTCCTTAAAGAAAATATAACTAAAACAGAACTCTCAAAACTCCAATTATTTAAATGCAACAATTTCTCAAGTACTTAAGAATACTGAACAATGTGAGATTTCTTTGGGGGGGAGGAGAGGAGTTGTGTGGATGAGAGACAATGAATAGTCTGAATGTAACTAATGAATAATGAACTCACGTCAAAAATATTTGAGATGTAATATTTTTACACAGTAATATTGAGCAAATACAATGTGATTAACAAGGACAATGAATTTATTTACCAATTTAAAACAACAGGGTTTAAAAATAATATTCAAAGAATTTGGCTTGAATTGAATCAAAATAATATATTTCAAATCCAATGTGTCCTGTTTCTTAATGACATTCTATGAATGATACTTGTAGAATCTCTAACTCAAAACTCTGAATTAAAAATGTGAATTAGAAAATGTGCTTCTCAATTACATTTTCCTTTTAATGTATACAATCTTAGCAAAGTTATAGTCCATGAAACCCAAGATTACCCATCTATGAAATCTGATCTGGTTATTTCACAAGGCTGATATAAAGAGGAAATTAAAAATATACATAAAACAAAAAGCAGAAGTATTATCAATAGTAAAGAGATATTATCCTCCTCTCAGAGTCAGAAAAAAAGTTTGATCTGCTTTCTCTGTTACAGGATTTTTCTTTTTTAAAGAAAAGGTAAGCATTTAAAATTCTTTAATTATACACAAAAAAGAAAAGCTGGATAAAGAAAATTATAAATATATTGACAATTTGAATAAAGAAATTTGTACTAGAAAATATATTACTGTAAGATCATTTGTAAAAGATAGTATCAACTCTTTAGGCAAAAATGAAATGCTAGGCAATTAAAATGCATTAACTTTATCAATTGTGGTTAATATTTAATTCTGTTACTTACCTCTGCCCATTTAAGAATACAGGTCATACAGAAGACATGATTACAACTTTCTGGAAAACCAACTTCCTTTTCTAATAAGCAATTAAGACATATTGGACATCTGTCTGTTTCACTGTACAAGAGGCCACTTGCAGCACTGTGATTTCTGTTTTCTTCACCTGTTGAAGTAAAACATACTTTCAAACCCTCCAGAAACAAGTAACTACATATGGTAATATGATGATCTAGATACTCCAAGGGCCTTCATACTACAAGGCAATACTACTACATAAATAACAAATACACTCACTAATTCTAATAGTCACAACATTCGCACACAAACAAACACTTGCAACAGTAAAAATCAAATCCAAGGCTTTATACATACTAGGCAAACATTTTACCACTGAGCTATATCTCTACTGCCATTATTTCACATTTTAAAAAGTATATCTATAGTCAGGCACTAGTGGCTCACACCTGTAATCCTATCTACTCAACAGGGTGAGATTTGAGGATCATAGTTCAAAGCCAGCCCAAGCGCAAAACTCCATAAGACTCCTATCTTCAATTAACTACCAAAAGCCAGAAGTGGAGCCAATGAAAAAGCTAAAAGACAGTAGGCCAGGCCCTGAATTCAATCTCTACAACCAGAGCGCACATGCGCGTACACACACAAAAGTATACCTATGTAATTCCTAAAACTTCAATTGCCAGATCATTGTGTGTCTATAGATATTGTCAAATTAGCCTCGTTAGACTCTAAACCAGTTTATAGTCTCTCACCATAATCATAACCAATTTGTACACAAGTATATATTACTGGTTTATAAACAAATAAGATACTTTATGATTCAGCACTAAAATAAAGGTTTAGTGAGCTGGACTTTTAACAGAATAAAGCAAACAAATGAAAACCTGGGAATATCCTATTTCTAATGTCCATACTAATGTTCAGAGCTGAAGAGTAAAACTTCCAAGGCAGAAAAACTGATATAAATCCTGAGAGACTCCAGTATTAAGCAAGACAGAAAAAATGAAAATGATTAAATAACAACTTCAAAGAGCTGAGAGGAAACAACAACAAATAAAACCTACCAATCCAGAATTATACACTCATATGACCAGAAAAAAATCTATGTTTAAATGATTTGGAAAAGATTTAAAGTTTGGATACAACATTCAGAGCACATCACCAACAGACAGTCACAAAGAAATAACACCCCCCCACACACACCACCTTTTTTTTAAAAAAAGGATGGAGAAGAAAGCAAGCATACAACATCTAACGACTCAGGCTATGGTGGTACACTTAAAATTGCAGCACTTGGAAGAAAGAGGAAAGAGAATCACTTGAGGCCAATCCGGGTTATATACAAAGTTCAAGGTGAGCCTAAACTACATAGTAAAACCCAGTCTCAAAAAACAAAAGGTAACCAGGCACCAGTGGCTCACTCATATCTGTAATCCTAGCTACTCAGGAGGCTGAGATCTGAGGATCGTAGTTCAAAACCAGCCCAGGCAGGGAAGTCCCTGAGACTCTTACCTCCAATTAACCACCAGAAAACCAGAAGTGGTGCTGTGGCTCAAGTGCTAGCCTTGAGCTGAAGAGCATAGGGACAGTGCCCAGGCCCAGGGTTCAAGCCCCAGGAC